GAGAGAGAGAGAGAGAGAGATACACACACACGCACACGCATATAGGTTCTATCATTCTTTTGTATTACTATTATCATTTTTATTATCACACGCGAACAGCTTCTGACTTTTCATTGGCTAACGTCACGCAGGGGTCTGAGCAATCAAGGTATATAATTCAGAGGATGGGTGATTGGGATTAGTCATTCATTATATTTTGGTAGGTAAGTTGCCGTTAACTCCTTTCGTTAAGTCATACATAAAATCTCGACTACTGTTGATTTGCTATAGGACAAGTTGTGATCGTGAATTTACTGTATTTTTTTTTTCTTTTTTAGGTAATATTGAACTAAAACATTATTTATTGACATTTCATATTTTATATATATGTCTTTGATTCTAATTTTGGGATCTGTACGTGTATCTATTTTTTTCCCTTCCATTTTCTGAAATATATATCACTGGCAACGAATTTTTATATCACAGAGAAGGATCAGCGTCAACACCATGGTAATTTTCAAGGTGTTGTTGGTAGCATCGTTGTGCATTTACCAAGGTCAGTCTCCATAAAGGTTGTCGTTTAACTATGTTACGTTTATTGTTTTCATTGTCTGTTTGTCTGCTCCCCTTACTTATTTCTTATTTCTTCTTACTCTTTCTCTCTATCTGTTACTATTTCTCTTTGTTTTTTTTCTCATTCACTCTTTTACTTTACTCTCACTTGCCAGCTATGATCCCTTACTTCTTACTGATTTCTTCTCGCTCTCTCTTTTGCCATGCATATAAATAAACTGTGACTGTATACTCTAGTTTTTTTTTCTTGCCAAGAGGCCCAGGCATACAAATGTTCGACAGACCGTTCTCCGCTAATGGCCAGGACACCCAATCATTTGAAACTCCCTCTACGACATCCTCAAGAACTTAAAAAATGATTCTCTCTCTCACAGCCTGCACCTTTAGCTTGGAGACCGTGTGCATTTTCACACCTAATGGTTACCAAGATCCGGGGCCGCGTGGAGGGAGGAAGCTTGCCGAAACTCTCCACTTAAATAGAAATAAGTTTGAACAAAACAGAAAACGGCATCAGCGCCTAGTCCTCTTTGCTACATGCGCGAATGTCAGAGATGCAGTAGAAGGCTTATCGGTAGCAGTATCACAACAGGAATTATTAATCTAGCTCATGATCAAAGGACTTCTCCCTTCAGGCAATGCGAAGTGTCCCGATAGAAACCTGATCCAGTGCGAGACGAACGACAACTGTGTGGAGATAAGCCTCATCTGCGACGGAGTGACCAACTGTGATGACAACTCCGACGAAGAACGAAGCTTGTGCGACGTGGGTGTTGAGTCCTTTTGTTGCAGCCTCGGGGAAGGGAGAGTCCTTCGGGAGGGTTTAGAGGAGGGGATCTTAACCCCGGGTGAATTCTCTTAAAAATACAACTCGTACGGGACATTCTGTTCTTAATCTAAGGATTTTTAAAAATTATTTGGCTGAGGGTGGGTGGCGTGGAGATAAAGACCAAAAGGTGGCTTTAGAAAAGACAATCTTAACCTTAAGCGTTTTTTATTATATTATTTTTTTGTTTATTTATTCTTTAAAACTACCTTCTGCCAACGTGGTAATGAAAGAACGTACAATTGTCTTCGGTTTTGTTCTAATAGTATTAATAACAAAAATATAATATATCATAATTTCATAACGTCTCTTGTCAAACACTGACCCTTCCCTGCCAACGCTGACGTCTTCCTTCCAACACAACCCCTCTCCCTCTCCCTTTCTCCTAGTCGCATAATCGGCGATTTGTCCCCCCCCCTCTACCGTCTCCTCGCCCCCCCCTCCTACCGTCTCCTCCCCCCCCCTGCCAGCACTTCCTTCCGACATCAACCTTTCCTTAACAACACTAACCCTTTTCCTCTCAACCTCCTCTCTCCAGCACTAACCCTTTGCTCCCGAGCCTGACCTCTGACAGCACTAATCCCAAAACTGATGTCTTCCCCGTCACCATCCGTTTGCAGGTATGGGCGACGAAAAAATGCTATACCGGTACTTTCACTTGCAACAAAGGGGGAAAATGGAGCTGCTTGTCCCCCAAGGAATACTGCGAGGAGTCCAACCCTCCTTGCGACGATAAAGCCGAGCGCTTGTGCCAGGTTAGAATCCTAAAGCGCTGCTAATGGACTTTTAATGGTAAAGTTGATATTTTGTTATCATTTGATTGTGTGTGGTTGTGTGTGCATGTGCGCGTGTGTGAGTGATAGGGTGAGTGAGTGAGTGAGTGTGTATGCTTTGGCATTTTTACTCAGTCTGTATATTCCTCGTCACCCAGATGTTGTTAGACGGAAGACTTGAACCTCATGACGAAATCGTGTTGCGGACAAGCGTGGATTACGCTGAAATTTCGGGCAAAGAGTTCCTCGAAAAGGTCAACGTTACCATTGAACATCCTGATTGCCCTCACCTGTACACACGCGTTGGCGATCACTGCTTGTCCATCTTTTTCTTTGGACTGGTGAGTTTATTTGCATTTTGTTTGTATCCCAATGGGCATGGTACGGCAGTCATTCTGTTTCCCTCTGTCTCTACGTCTTACGTTTTATCTCTCTTTGTCTCTAACTTTCCTTTTCACTTAGTATCTACCATGTTTATTTATTTTTTTCCTTCTGTCTCTCTTAAGTCTGTTCTCTCTCTGTTTTTAATCTGTGTAGACTCATCACATAATTTCCACTCACCCCCCCCCCCGTGTCCCTTTGCAGGTCAACTGGGGAGAAGCTCGGGCCTTCTGCAAGATGAATGGCGGTGACCTTCTGACCTTTCAAGATGGCTTCCAGAACTTTTACGAAATCGTCCGTCACCTTCGCAAGCATGGTCAGTATTGGGACTTGGATGCTGCAGTGTGTTTGTGTGTATGTGTGTGTGTGTTTGTGTGCGTATCTGTGTATGCTCTGTCTTTATGTATATTGATTTTTTTGGGGTGTGTGTGGTGAATTCTTCCTTTGTGCGGGTCACTAGCCGTGGTAGAAATTGGTGTTAGTTTTATTCTTCTGCGAAAGGTTCATATTATTCAGGGAATGTGTTCGATAGTTAATAAAAAAGATAATCACATCTCACCGCCCTCATTCCCCCAGACATCACCTCGGACTTGTGGATTGGGGGAGCCGTGCGGAACAAGACATGGACGTGGGTGGACGGCAACCCCATCGAACTGGGCACCCCCTACTGGTCCCTCAGGTATGACCTCGTCCCTCCCTCGCGTGCGCAAGGCCGATCCCAATTAGTGACTTTTATTCATTCTTTCTTAGCTGTATCTTGACCTGCACTGACACCTTTGGTGGTATAAATATCGATTTTTTCAGTGTGTCTCATTATATAGCTTACTATAATAATAATAATAATAATAATAATAATAATAACGCAGTAGATCAATATCCTCGGAATTCTCTTATTTTCTTCGACTATATGACTCGTTTTTTTTTTTTTTGTCAAATAAGGATCAATGAAGATGAATTACAGTTGTATATCTCGACCGAGGATTGCCATAACAGATAGTGTTTAGGAAACGTGATTAAACTGAAAAAATCACATGCTCTTTCTCCCCCCAGAATGAACCCTGACTGTAATCATCTCAACCAGTCCGTCAGTTGCAACGAACATTGCCATCGCTACCTGCAACGACCCAGGAAACCCACCGTAGGTATGTGCACCGCCCTTAACTTCGAGAACTTCTTCTACATGAGCGACGAGGACTGCCTGGCGAAGAGGAGCCCTCTCTGCGTCGCGGGAAAGGAACCCAGTGAGAGGGCGTGAGGCGATCTGAGGGGAC